AAGATTTTCAAGATTTTCAAGTTTTAATAAATTTCCTCGATTTACGCTATTTTTGAAGCTTTAAATTTTATAATTAAAAATGAAAATATATTTTAAGGCTATCATGAATATTTCTAGTATTAAACCACATTTCTCGAAACTATTTAAAGGTGTGTTTTACTTTGATTGTTTAAAGCCTTGACTCTATACAAACTGCACCCCTATTTAAATCACCAATATCACTATGCACAAATTTAAAATTCAAAATTCCATTTAATAGAGGGGAAAGGCATTCTGGTTATTTTGGATTCTAAACATGCTTCATTTCTCTTCTAAATTTTCACCACCTAATCTAATTATAGATTTAACCGAAATGTTATTTAAACGTCTTAATTTGGCACATTCACTGACCAAATCAGATTTGTACACGCCATTATAAGAGTATGAGCTATTCAACAACTACCCAGGCAACAACCCCCAACAAAAAAAAGGAAAAATATAAATAAGAAAAAATTAATTTATCTGAGATGTTAAATTAATGGTTTGTTTAGTAGTTATTTACGAATTGTTCGTGTAGTATAGAATCCTTGGGACACGAACGGGTATGGTTAGCACATGACATGGCTTTATGGTACAATAATGCAACATCACAACTCAAAGCCTCACAAAACAATGAAGCGTTGGCGTTAGAAATCATTTTAATGGCTTGAAAATCTACTTCCTTCTTTGACTGACAAACTTAAAAGCTCTAATAATCATGTAGATTTGTTGGACCTGTGAACACTTGAAGATAGATGACAAATAATGTTTGATAATATACACTATTTTTAGGGGTTAAAAAACATCTATTAGTTTTCTCTTTTAGATCCATAATTATCGAAGTTGATATAATCACTTTGATGGTTTGCCCATCCTCAATTTTCAAAGAGAATTCAATTGTGGTCTTAAATAACTTTTTCCAATACAACATGGATATCCTTATATATGATTTTTAAGTTATTTATGAGAAAGTGTATCATCTAATATTAGACTTTTTATGGACCATCAATCTTTATAACCAAAACACTAAGTTTACATAGGCCCATTTTAATTATGACACTGTTGATGTAGGGAGTGGCTCTGATACCAACTGATGTTGGGAAGAAGGGAAAATAAAATAAATAAATTAGAAAACTAAAAGCTGAAAGAAAAAAAATGAGATATCATTTGAGAAAAGTAAAAGGACTCTAACTATTAATAATTAAAAAAAAAAGAGGTAAAATTCTTGTCAATATTTGTTTAATATATAAAAATGAAGAGGAAACCGGTTCTCATTTGTTTTTACTCTACCCACTCAGTTGCTTCGAATATTTAGGAATAAGCTTTTTGCATGGTAGGGGTTGTGATGACCCAACAAAAGGTGCCACAAAGACAGTATTACGCAGTTGAACCTGCCTAAGATGGGTAGGACGATTTAGAAGATATTTTTGGACGGCCGTGTTACATGAAATTTGGAAGAAAAGAAACAACAATACCTTTTAAGGCCTTCTATGGAACAAAGATAAGCTCAAAAGTAAGGTTTTCTATACCCTTTGGAGTTGGTTTTCGGTATCCAAAGAGAGCCGGGGTATTTCAAAAGTGGATATGATGGTAAATTTGGTAAATCTAGTCAATCAAAGTTTCTTAAGGACTTGACCTAACGGAAGATGGACTCCTCTTTTACCAAGAAGCTTTAAATTGAATTTGGATGGGAGTTGAATACGGATCTAAGACCTGCGGGAATTGTTTAGCCACAATGCTCAATAAAAATTTTCTTGAACTTCGTGCATTGTTCTTAGCGTCCAAATTTTTAAATCTAGTAGTTAAAAATGATTGTGATTTTATTATATTAAAAAATGAATTGTATATTATGAGACTATTTATCTTTTATACAATGAGGTGGCAATTACTCCTAGCCGTTATATGTCAATTGAATGGTTTGGGATGCATCACGAACTTCAAGACTTTTTTTTGGACTAGTTTATTTCATGCTCATAATCATTGGATTTGAAATCTAAAAGATAAAAATGATTGGACATCCTAGTGCTAAAAGTAAATGGTCTCTTCGTATACTATTCCGTACCAAAAATAGATAGGTCTCAAAGTCTACATTCCCCGCAAAAGATATATGATCATGTGATAGTTGAATCGATCAACTCTTAAAGATATTTTGATAAATTTTCCATTATTAGTAAATGGCATGTCACAAACTAAGCCTTATTGTAGTACTTTCCTCAATTTGAAAAGAAAAACCTTAATGTATTGTATGTAATCCACGAGAAAAGATGAACCATTCCTTCATGTATGTATATTCGAATAGAGGAACAATCAAAGCCATTGTTGTCATTCGGAATAGAAGGTAGAGATTACATATAACATACAATTAGAGTACTACATGTTATACGGCAGACGATGCATCATTCAAGAAAAAAAAGGAAAAGATTTATATCAGGTTGCAACCCTATTTGTACAAATAATATTGTATTAATCTACTCCAATCATTTTATTTGAGGAAAAAGTTCATACAATATTGCAAATTTATATTATAAGAAGTAAGGTGTAACTCAAAAAATCCAACAAAAGAGAGTGTTTTGAAGTTGGAAAACCTTCAAATCATTCATCTCGACCTCAAGATGTACAAATTTAAAGAAAAATAAGAATTTCCAGCCATTAAAATGGTGGATCTAAAGTTTCCCAGTTTTGTGTGCCTGTGTTCGGTTACTGCTACTGCGTGAGTGACCTTCAAAAAGAGCATTGACCAACGACCTAGAGCCCTCCGGTGTCCTGTTGTGACAACCAGAGGACACAAATGACCAAGGAGTTTATCTCTTTCCCCCTTGGAGTTGTCTAATGTTTTTCTGTGTCTCTTATTTTTCCTCTAGCCTTAGATCTATGGGCTCTTTGACTTCAATATTAGGCTTTTGCTTCAAATCTGAATGTTTATTCTCATATATGAGTTTTGTTCTTGTTCTTTTTTAGGTTCATTTCCTTTTTTTTCTTTCGCTCTCTTTTCTCCTTTTTAGCCTTTTCTGGTCCCTTATCTTTTTGAGATTTTCTATCATTTCTTCCTTTTTTTTCTTTCCTCTCCCTCTGTTGCTAGCTCGTTTTTCTTTGTGCCCCAAGCCTTCTTGTTTTTTTTGAGCTCTGTTCCTTTAATCTTTGGGCTTATGTTATTGCTCTTTCCTTCTCTTGCCCACCACCTTTTGGTTCTCTAGAGAGAGAGAGAGAGAGAGAGGCCTCCTAGAAACAGAGAGAGAGAGAGAGCGAGCTTTTTGTTGGGGAGGTGGGGGGACAGAATCCTCCCCGCCCCCCTTCCTATCCACCCCTTCCATCGCCTTGTCTTTATCTTTGCCCATCTTTGTTCACCCTCCACCGTCATCTATGACTTTTTTTTATGCTCTCAGCCTTCTCCCTTTTGGTCGACTCTTAACTCTCCACGCTTAAGTTAAAGCTTAAGACAGGGTTACCCTCCTTGGGGGGTTAGCCATCATGTTCCTTGACTTCATTTTTTGAAGTCCATTGTATCTTGCCAAGGCTAATGCCTATTATGGGGGATGGTCTGTTTCTTGACCTTGATGAATCCTGTGTATGGTAATATGGTAAAATTTTTTGAATAGTTAATTGAGTTTGTCCCCTTTCTCTTAGTGTCTTGGTTTTTTCCTTTAAGCTTGTTCACAACTCTTCTCCAGTTTTCATTCACTTTAGTTTTTTGACTCTCTTTTCACTTTCATTCACTTTTAAACCCTGCATTTCGGCCGCTAGTTGTGCCCAACCCCCACAACGACGCTGCCAAGCTCGAATTGTCATTCTCTTGGGTGTCGTTGTTCATGTGCTGGTTGGTACTTTATTCCAACCCCGGCTTGTGAGGTTTCTGTTGAAAGGTAAGTTTGTTATTGAAGGTCTTGTTTGTGGTTTAGTTTGAGTGGGATGCTATGGAGTTTGTCGCATGTGGAAGTTGTTGTGTATAGTTTAGCAAGGATTATGAGGTTGCATGTGTTTTGGGGCCCGTAGGTGTTAAGGGTTGTTTGTGTTTTGTTAGTCTTAGATGGGTCATATTTGGAGTATAGAGCTTAGTCTCTTTATTGCTTATTCTCTTCTTTTTTTTTCTATCGTAATTTTGAGCTCCGCTCTATATTAATGAAAGTTGCTGTGAACATTAAAAAAGAAAAATGGTGGATCTAGAAACAAGATATCTAGAACATCTAATTTTAAAATTTTGAAGTGCATGTAGATCAGCTTGATTTGCACTATTTTTGAAATTTTAAATTTCATAATTTGAGTTTGATATGGATATTCCAACCATTATAAGGTTTCCAACATCAAAACTAATTATTCAAGCAAAATTTAGATGTGCACCTTACTTGTATAGTATAAAACAAAGGAAAAAAAAAAGAGAAAATCAATGAGGATATGGGCCCCTACCATTTGGTGAGAATGGAGTCAAATACTTCATTATAGAACTTGTTGGTACTAACGCCAAGGCCCCAACCAATTCTCAAACTACTTGTATAGTATAAGTATAAGGTGGACACCTTATGCAAACCTAACCCTTTATTTAGATAGTATGGACTTGACACTATCGTAAAAGACGTATAGCTTTTATAAATTATTTTAGAATGTGTCAAATCTACGTTGTTCAATTAAAAAATACATGGTGTAGACCATGGTAACCTTCTTTTTACAAAGAAGGTTGCAACCTTTTATAAACTAAAAAAAAGAAAAAGAAAAGGTAAATGTTGCAACTGGCTTGTTCGATCTGAATGATAACATACGATGAACCACAAAAGGAAAAACGAAGTACAAAAAAAGACTCATTTTCAAATATTTTTTTTTCAAGGGTGTGGTTTCTTTTTGTCAAACATGTCCGTCAAAATGCTCTTGTTAATGCAGGAAGCAAATGGACAATGTGTTCTCGAGGGAGCAGTAAAACTTTTCACCCCAAAAAAAAATATACTCAAAATTAATTTTCTAATAACACCAATCAAACAAATAAGAGATTTAAGATCAAAATATCCTTTCCCTCTCGGCTTTCCTACGTTTTTCAAATGTCGCAACACTTTCTCTCTCTACCGCCCACTCTCTTTCTCTCTCTACCGCCCTCTCTTTCTATGGCAGCACTTTCTCTCTCTACCCGCTTCTCTCTCACACTCTCTCTCAACCCACCCTTTCTCTATCTCGCTACCCAGCCCATCAGCCAACTCCATTGCCAACCTCTTTCAGGACCTTAGAACCCACCTCTCTCTCTTTATCATCTATTGCCTCGGCCAGTTCCACTCAGAAACCCCCATCCCATCTCAAAACCCCCAATCAAGTTGATCAAAGATCGCGCCCCACCGTCGAAGAACCCACGAACCCACAAAACAAAAACCATAATTTAGCCATCAAAACTGCTCTCTGCAACTCTCTCTCCTTCACAAACAAAGAATCAATCATTTGGGCTTCAAGGGCTCTCCCTCTAGCCCTCTCTGTCCTCTTAGGCGTTTTGTACAGCAGAGACAATGGCTATTGGGCAGGCATTGTGGTAGCCGTTAGCATGGGTGGAACAAGGGAGCCGTTCGTTACATCTCCCTAATTCCATAGGTAATCTTCACAATCTTTCTAAGAGACAGCAAAATGTATGGCTATGCTGGTAGTTTATCAGCCCTTTTGGGTGCAGTTATAATTCTCAGACGAAGAAACCTCTGTGCATCCCCTGAATTCGCCATAGTTAGAATCACTGAGACCTTTATTAGGGTGTTTGTCGAACTCCTAATCGAGACCACTCGAGCCACCAGGTTGGCAATGGAGTTGGAGACCTATTTGGCAGATGGGCTTGGTAAAAGTAAGAGTTGGGCGGGTAGAGAGAGAAAGAGAGAGGATAGGTAGAGAGAGAGAGGTTGAGGAAGTAAGAGAAGGGCGGGTAGGGAGAAAAAGAGGTTTAAAAAAAAGTGTTAATACAAAAGTACAGGGGAAGAGAGAAAAAGGGCATTTTAGTTCTAAACTTTATGATTTTTTGAGGGGGGGTTAAATACAAAAAAAAACCAGTGTTGAAGGCGTTGGGGATAGGATGTCTAGAAAGTTGATTTTGGGATATCTATGATTTTCCCTACAAGTTACCCTCCTAGTACAAAAATTGGACTAATCTTGAAAGGACTCTTTTCCCAACAGGGGTTATCTCTGCAACATCATAACATAGATGGTGGTGCACAAGCCTCTTCTATCATTTCTCTGCAATGATGGGTTCTTCCATAGATTGAAAATTTTTCGCACAGCAACTCAAAACTTGATCATGGGTGGTCTCAGGAGCTACTACTCTCTCACTCCTGACTCAGAGGTCCCAGAAATGGGAGAATTCATGGGTTTTATGGAAACCTTGAAAAACTATGAGAGGTTGGGTGTACCCACAGGTGCTGGAACAGACTCAGAATATGGGTTTGATCTTGGTAGAATGAGGCGCTTGCTTCATCGCCTTGGGGATCCCCATCTTAAGTTCAAGGTAAGGGATTTTGCTTCATTTGTTTCTGAAGATTGTGGTCTGTTTTTTGTAGGACAAAAATGAAAAGGAAGTTCTCAATTTGATTGTGGATGGATATTTTGTGTTTTTCGATGAATTGTGTGTTAGCAAAAACTTGAAGCTAAACTCTCTTTTGGTGTTAATGTGGGCTGATAATTGTCTATCTCTGGAAAAATATTCTTCATTTACGTTGTTATTGGTCTTATTCTTTTGTCTAGAAATGTTGGTCTATGTTGTTAATTGCTCCCTTTCTGGGAAACTAGAGTTTAGTTGCTTCTTATGGTTTTATATCTACTAACTTAACCATTTCCTTGGTTGATTAACTGGAAATGTAATGAGACTTCAAAAAGCTAATATGATCAATTCATTCTTATTTCTTTGTTTTCCCTGTTGAGTTACATCCTTGAGAGGGATATTGACTGCTGGACATTCTACTTCAAACTTTTGATAAGTGTGACCACCAGACCTCACATGTGCCACATATTTTCTTTACCTGAATATATGTTATTTTAAAAATATTGTCTATTTATTATTTATTTTTATGAAGGATTTTGAGAGAGAGAAATGCCTTCCCAAACTGTTAGTGGATAACTCCTATAATCCCATATTTTAAGGGCCACTTTGTCATAGATATACCAGGGACATCTGAATGTTGGAGTAACTAAAAATCCTTTATGAAAGAGAGTCATTTGGGTTCTATGCTCTTCAATGTTCCTTCGCTGATTTGTGTGATCTTTTGGATAAAGATAATGATTTTGTTCATTTGTTATTGAATTTCTTTATTACATTCCCCATTCCACGATCTCCTATTCCATTCTTGTTTTTTTCTTTATATATTTCAAGTCCCATGTTCTTCCCTTTCTATCTTTTGTTTTAGTCTTGGTCTCCTGTTCTTTTTGGTTCTTCAAAGTAAAAATATGAACCATCTTCCACCTCCTTCATAGAACATAAGAGAAATAAATTTGTTATATGAAAAAAGTATATACAATAAAACCATTTACTTTTAGTACAAGAAGGTCACAAATCTCGTTGACCGTTGGATGTGAAATTGGATGGCTGAAGGTATGTCACTGAATGGACACAAAGTCCAAAATAAAATTCCTTGATCTTTGTGGCACACATCCAATGGCTAGAATTTATTGTGTTCTCCATGTATTAAAAGTAAATGTTTTTATAGTATACAATCCCTATATATATTAGATAGACTTTCTCTCTTAGAGATGAGAAGATTCTAGGCGTCAATAGAGTATATCATCAATAGAGATGATAATATTCTTTTTGGTTCTTTGATGTAAAAATATGAACCATCTTCCTCCTCCTTCCTAGAACCATAAGTGAAATAAATTTGTTATATGGAAGAAGTATATACAATAAGACCATTTACTTTTAGTACAAGAAGGTCACAAATCTCTTTGACCGTTGGATGTGAAATTGGATGGCTAAAGGTATGTCACTGAATTGACACAAGGTCCAAAATAAAATTCCTTGAACTTTGTGACACACATCCAATGGCTAGAATTTATTGTGACTTCCAAGTATTAGAAGTACACGTTTTTATAGTATACAATCCCTATATATATTAGATGGACTTTCTCTCTTAGAGATGATAAGATTCTAAGCATCAATAGAGTATATCCTTGCCTCCTTTTTTTTCTCTGGTTCCGTTTTTTGGCTTCCATTCTCTTTAACCATTCATCATCGGTTCTCTCATTCGTCTCTGTGTACTTATGGCTTCATAAGTTTACTTTTATTGCCATGACCATTCTTTATTTCTCGATAAGGTAGGTGAACGTCTATCCATCTATCACTCTCGCATATTCTTTCTCTAGAATTGCATGTAACTAAAGAGATCTATCAATCACCTCTCTCTACGCCCAATTTTGGTGTTTCCTCTCTCTTCATTTTCAAATAAAAATAAATAAATAAGCAACCTCAAGTTGCTACTAATTGGCCCATAAAGTTTTCTGCTGTTATTGGGTCGATTCGAGCCTCATTTGCCTGTTATTCGATCGTCAAGTTTGCTGTTGTTATTGGGTCGATTTGAGCTTTATTTTGCTACTATTCGACTACTGGGGTTTGCTGCTTTTTTTTGGGTCCATTCAAGGCACATTTTTCTGCTATTTAACCCACAGTTTTGCTGATGTTTTAGGACCTATTCAAGCCTCGCTTTGCTGCAGTTTGGTACCTAAAATTGCTGTTGTCCTTAGGCCGATTTTGGTTTCGATATGATGTTGAGAGATCCCAAAATTGGCTGCTGGTTTTGGGTAAACTTGACTCCAAAATTGATGGTTGCTTTGTAACCCATTGATTCCACTATCGTGTCAGTCTTTTCCAAGATTTAATCTAAGTAATTTATTTTTGTTGTTTACTTCTAGTTGCTTTGGTTGTCTATTTATTTTAGAATTCTAGCATATAAAAGGAGTGGCATTTGGGTTTAGTAATAGCGTAATTATCAAAACTTGAAAACTTATGGAACAAACTTTTCTATGTGGAAAAGAAATGATGGATACACATTATTCCAAGATAGGGTCGATTATGTCCTTGAGTCCAATCTGCCAACTTTAGAATTTAATGCTAATGGTCGAGCCAAAAGAAGACTAGATAAATGGTTATATGACTCCCCCATCTTGGGAGTCAGTGGTTATAGCTCTGAACCACTCATCACATGGCATCACCATGTTAAACCTTCCTATGCACCTTAGTGTTGAAGTTGAGAGAAGAGCTAGGAAGAAGTCCAATGACCTCCCCTTTGCTCAGAGTTCCTATTCCTAAAATCCTAGAGAACTCAACAATAATGGGCAGAGCAATATAAATAGGTATAAAGGTAAGGTGAATAATTTGAAAAATCAAAAGAAGCCATTACGTAATTCATCTGATGAGGCATGGCTCTACTGTGAGGAACCTGGGCACATTAAACCAAGCTGTCCAAACTGAAAAATAAATTTTGGAATCAAATAATAATAATAAATGCTTGTCAAAATAGCAATAATCAACTAAAAAGGACTTCATATGCGTTGTGTCAAAATTGTAAGGGAGGTGTTTGTCTTTTTATTTTTCTTTATTTTTCTCTCATGTATAAATTTTGGGCTGTCCCATTCTCACCCTTCTAACCTTAGTTGTTCCCACCATGAAATGTGTGGCTACGTAGAATTTCAAGCTATCAATTATAAAATTTCTTTATTAATAACTGGAATTTCTACTTCTAATTGCCACAATATAATGTACAAATAATAATAATAATAATAATAAAAACTACTACAATTTAGGATGTTTTACTTTTACTGCCAAAATAAAACTTTATTAAAAAAACTGAATTCAAACTTTCAAAGTTGAATTCTAACACAAACAAGGTTTCTGTATATAAATAGAAATTTAGACCTTCTAATTTGAAAAACAACTAAATTAGCCAAGGAAGAGTTACGAAACTTTGCCTAGGGTCACCCCGGACTCAATACAAGGGAGGTTTCTTTAGTTCTCTTTGGTCGTTCAGGATAGCACACTTCTTGAACCTTTGGTCTTGCTGAATTCTATATATTGGGAAACTCCTTAGGCAATACCCTTTAAAGAACTGGGGTGTGAAAGCATGAACTGGGTGTAGGGTTTTTCTGAATACTTTTAGTGTATGCCATTGTGGAGCACCACCCTGTTAAAACCCAGGCCGGGTGTACTCCCCTTGTTTAGCCCTAGGGTTGGCGTGCCACCCTAGGAATCCTTGGGTTGTGCATGTGACCCTCCAAGGAAGAGATAAGAGAGAGAAATTATCGAGAGATGAGGCATGGAGAGGAGAGAGACCAAGAGATGTTAGAAAATTGAATCAATGAAATAAGGGGTGAACACCGCCCGTCCACCCAAAAAAACAAATTATAGTTTTCGAGAGGTCTTTGGTTGCTTGTCTTAATTGGAGTTCAATTTAACCAATAAGTTTCTTGGTAATCTGTGAGGTGAGAGCGAAAAATAAATTTGAGCCATCCATTCAAAAAATCAACCATCATAATTTAGGGAGAAATTATAGGAACCTTATCCCATGAGTCTTTGACTCATATTAACTTGTAGTCAGACTTATTTTAATTTGAGTTCTAATTTAAGTAGGAGTCCTAGTCCAAGTAAGAATCCTATTCCCAAATACGACTCCTAATACAATTATAACTCTTTAAAACTAATAATCTAATAATATGACTTTTGATCTTAGCAAGAGTCCTAGTCTAAGTAGGAATCCTAATCCAAACAGGTGTCCTAATACGATCAGAACACCTTAAGACATATAATATTTTAATACAAATTCTGACCTAAGTAGGAATCTTGGTCCAAGTAAGAATCCTAATCCAAATAGGACTCCTAATACATTTAGGATCCTTAAAACAACTAATATTCTAAATTTAAATATGGGCTTCTCACTTTGTGTGTGAGATGTGTGGCCTTTGTGGGCCCCCTGTCCCACCTCTATGTGGCCTATCCACAATTGGGATGTGGATCCCACTTAAAACTAGGCGCCTACTGAATTGTAAAATATTAATTATACATTTTCTAGATTTTTACAACAAAAAATAATTTTTCAAAAAAAAAATTCAAATTACTAAAAAAATGCATAATTATAATTAAAGATGAAAAAAGTATTTCTAAGGTTCTTAATTTTTTTTTTTTTTTTAAAACTTCAAAAATGCGTCTAGTAGTGGATTGATGCCGATGAGTCAAGAAAAGCAGTTGTCAGAGCACTCTGCCCAAGTTAGAAACCATGATCCACAACTATCTTCTCAAACCAACCCAATGGGATCTCATGACCTATAGTCATGCCCAGGGGCTCATGAATGGGTCGTCAAAGCTGGCCAATAAATAGTGGAACTACGATTCCAATATGCGGATTGTAGTCCACCCCCCTCCCCCCCAAACCCCCCACAAAAAACAAAAACGAAAGTTTGATGCACATATCGCTATAGTGCAAGGGGGACTCTCTCTATGCACATATACACGTGTCCTTCTACAGG